ACGTGTCCGTGTCTGTGTCTGTGTGTGTGTGTGTGTCTGTGTGTGTCTGTGTGTGTGTGTGTGTGTGTCTGTGTGTGGTACATGAAACGGGTGGTAAAGGGAAACATAAAGATGAGAGTGTCTAAATATATTGTATGAAATTTGCAAAAATTCAATTTAAAATAAAGAAGAGATGGAAAGAATGTCAGAGCTGGAGGATGAGGAAGAACGCTGTGAAAGGCTGTCTTCTGGACACGACATGACCACTGTAATTATCTGCACAGAGCCAGCCAAAATCCAAGCATAGATGGAGTAGATGATCTCCAGGCCCAACCCCATAGTGAGGAGCTATTGGCAGTGGGGAGTTACTCAGGGAGGGCCAATCCTTCTTTAACGGAGGAGATGGACACTGATAGGTTTCCCATGCTCCAGTGGATGGCCCCAAACCCAAGCACATGTGGGCAGCTCTAACTGGACATTCTGAGTTATCAACATAATAAAGCATGCATAAAGTTGGGAGGAGTCATGTCATAGAGGATAGGGGCAGTAGGAAAAGGAAATGTGGATAGACAGACTAATATTTCATTATATACATGTATGAAATTTTCAAAAATAATTAAAAATTTTAAAGCAAAATTCAAAATTTAAGAGGAAAAGGCATGAGAGAGGGAATAAAGAATGGGTTCAGTTTGGAACATGAATTTTGATTGCAGTCAGACATGTCTAGCAAGCAAATGGAGAAGCAAGCTTTGAAATAACAGCTAAGGATAAGAAATTTGAAGTTTCTAGAAGATATTGCCAACTTACTAAGATGAAGGTAAGGATTAAATTAGATAATGTATGCAAAGTGCCTAGTGCTTAACAGCACTGTAAATAAAATAAATCAGGTAGTGTATTTAGACCTTACACAATAAAAGCAATGGAGTAGACTCCATCCTGAGCAAAACTATCAAACTGATCTCTGTATTTAGATAGAGCCTGAAGTTAAGTTGCAGCTTAACCCAACAGTCTCTCTGGGTTTTACAGAAAGCTTAGTAAGCTGCCTGTCAATCATTCACATTTTTTTCTCTAATCACTGAGCTGTACTGAGCTGGATTCGTAGGCCATATTCCTCAGCTATAACTAAACAGCTCTTGCCTCTTTGCCTAGACGCCTCCTAGTGAAAAGGATCCTGTCTGGACTCCCAAAAATCCTAACACAATGCCTCTGACTAAGGAAACAGATTGTTTAAATCTATAAATATAAATGCTATATAATACAACTGGGAATTTGTCAGTGCAGTTTCCAAATAAAGGACCCGAGTGCTTACAACTATGAGGAAGGTGAAGAAATGAAGAGGAAGATGGCAGGAGAGCTCATCTTCTACCTCTTATTCTATTCTTTCTAAATCTTCCTCCCAGAGGTTATAAACAATAACTACTCCACCAGCAAATAACAGAGTAGCAGATGTTGCTTTAGGCCACTTTTCAAAACTTGATACATCTAGTACTTTAAATTTTGCCTCATAGCAATCATAAGATTTATAATTCCTGCTAATTTTTAACTTTGGCTATCAAAAAACATAAAGAAATGGTATCCCCAAGTTTTGACTTGCATTGATTAATTTTTAATTCTTTTTATATTCAGAATGCAATCAGATTGGCTGGATATCACACCTCTATCCTGCCATGATATTACAGACTTAAATTTATTCTTTACCATGGGCTAATTATAGAGACCTTTGAGCCCTGGACTGCTGTAGAGTTTTAAGTTGACAATGGATGATTGCTCACAGGGCTATGGAGAAATCTTGTCTTTTAATGCTAAAGGATTATTGAATTGGTTCTTAATACCAAGTGGAATAATCTGAACTACACTTTGCTATCAAACTACTCTTGAAAACACAGTGTTTGTTAGCTTGTGTATAATTATAGAAGAAAAGTCTTTCTTATGATTGACAACAATGTGCACTGCTGGTTTTCTAGGTATAAAAACTGACTGAACCCTTGCTTCGGACCATAAAAGTCCTAATTATATGATGAATTATGTTGGACAAATTGCCTATTATAGCAATATTTTGTGAACTACTGAATTTATTAACAACAGATTCTAAAAACATAGCACATTTTACTTGCCCTAGCCTAGTAATTATATAATGGCATAGAAAAGGCCCTGTTTGTGATTTCCTTTGTTCTCTCAGAAGTAAAAGGAAACAAAAATAATTTTCCTAATAAGACATGGAGGAACTGCTCCATGGAATAAAGAGCAAGTTGTGAAGGGGGCCCTGTGACAGTAACAGGAGGAGGACATAGCACAGACGACAGGGGCAGTTTCCCTCCCGCACTACAACTGAAAATGTAACAAGAGAAAAATGTTTCCTTTAAAATTGGAGGGAGGCAATTTACATACTAAAAATTTATTGGCTTTATAATATGAGTGTTTTGGAATTCAAGAAATAATATTATGTCTTTATCTAGAATTTTTTGAAATAAAAGACACAAATTCCCAAAGCAAGGAAAAAGCCCCGAACGCTTCTCAAAGTCACTCAAGCTGTATAATATAGTAATATTTTATTCACGAAGCATAGTCAGTTCCAACTCACCTGGGCCACCAGCAAGTTAATGACTCAGAATCAAACATGTCTTCTATATTCTTCTTATAGATTTTGATTCAAATAAAACATCTTCATTTTACCTTCCTATGTTGTACACAAAGTACATCATACCTCTCCCAGCCTGTGACCAGTATCGTCTTCTTAAGAACCAGAATCTGTGAAATATCCACAGCTCCATCTTGCCCAACATTTAGGGTGTGGTGACAATGTCCATTAAAGTCCCATACCTTTAAGAGAAAAATGAAGACAACTATTGAGATAGAAAAATGAGAGTATCTTCAATGTGTAAAACAATACAGTGTAATGGGAAGAGTTTATTAAACATGGGTGTTTACATTCTGCACTGGCTAATCTTGATCCTCAACTCTGTGGGATCTAGAATCACATAGGAGACAAACCTGTGGGCATGGCCTATGAGGGCATTTTCCAAGACGTTGAACAGGATTGGAAGACCTGCTTTGATAATGAGCAGTTCATTCCTTGGACTGAGATCCCAGACTGAATAAAAAGCAAACGGTGAAGGAGAAGCTGCACCAGTCCTCCTCAGTCTCTGTTTCCTGACTGCGGGTGCAATGTGACCAGCCTCCTCATGCTCCTGCAACCATGCCCTCCCCACCATGAAGGACTGTACCTGCAGACCATGGGCCAACATAAGTCGTTCCTTAGGTTGTTTTCATTGGGTATCTTGCTGCAGCAACATGAAAAGTAGCTAATACAGAAAATTGGTTCCTAGGAGTGGGCGCTTGCAATGATAAACCTAACATATAGGTCATAGACCTTTGGAATTGGTTTCTAGGAGGAATGTGGAAAGTTTGGAGCTGTGGATAAAAGAAGCCCTAGACTGCTTTAAGCAGAGCTTCATGGGCCATTGTGAAGGGTCTGGAAGAAAGAATGCTAACAGAAACTGGAGGATAGAGGACCAAGTCATGAGGCTTCAGGGAGTAGAAAGGGCTATGTCAGGAACAAGGCCAGAGGCCATTCCTGTCATAGTCCGGCAAAGAATATGAGACATTCTGTTAATGTTCTGGGAACCTGAATGAGGCTGAGTTCAAAAGTAATGGACTACTTTGATTGGCAGAGGAGACCATTCATGTTGGGGCACAATTACAGCTCATTGCTCTTATCCAGTTCTACAGTGAGAGAGCAGCAAGTAGATCAAAGAGGCATGAAGTTCAGTGGGGAAAGTGAGTTTAAGGTTGCAAAGTACATATAGATAAAGCAGTTGTAATTATTAAAGAAATTCATGCTGTTGGGACTAGAGCAATGGCTCAGCAGTTAGGAACACTGGCTGTTCTTGTAGAAGACCAGGGTTCAATTCCCAGCACCTACATGACAGCTGACAACCACCTGTAACTCCAGTTCCAGGGGATCCAATGCCCTCTTCTGACCTCCATGGTCATTGCACAACACAGGTGTACCTACCTACATGCAGGCATTACACTCATACACATAAAATAAAAATAAAATATAAAAAAAGATTCATGCTGTTAAAGAAATACCTCACCCTTGTCACATAACTGTATCATGAGAACAAGACCTCACTCACCAAAGACTGCAACTTGTGGAAATGCAAACTCACTTGAAATGGAAGAGCTGGGACTTGGAATGCTGTCAAAGGGATTTCTCACACAAAAGTATTTGCCTAAGGATGGGTATTTGCAGGTGTAGCCATAAAGACACAAAGAAGCTACCAGAGATTCTGTAGAAGGAGCCAGCATATATCTCTAGTTGGCAAAATAACTTGGAAGCGTCATGCACATGGTCTTGTTACAACAGACACATAAAACATAAGACTTGAAAATCATTGAGATGTGTGCCGTGGTTCCAGGAAGCCACTGAAGCCAGGCAATGTGTAGCTGGTCAGACACCCTGTGAAGGGGTCTTGAGAGGCCATTGTGGGCTTGTGATATTTAATCTTGTAGATTGATGGGATGTAGAGTCACCTAAGAAACAAGCCTCTGGCATGTCTGTTGAGTCTTTCCAGAGAAGTTTAACTGAGGAGCAAAAACCCATTATAAATATAATGGCCTGGGGTCCTAGACTGAGTGAAAAGGAGAAGCAAATGCAGCATTCCTCTCTCTTGGCTTCTGGAAAGGAGATGTGGTCGTGTGTTAGGATCCTGCTGCCTTCCCACCGTGATGAACAAGACAACCCCAAACGGTGAACCAAAACACATGGTGAGCTATGCATCATTCCAGGAGGTTACATAATAATTTTCAATCTCAACATTTGAACTTAGATATTATATCCATTATACTTGAGATGCTAAAACCTTTCAAACATTTGGAGTGACAAGAATGTTTTATATTAATGTATGGCTAGTGACTGGAAGTCCCACATAGCTTCAGGGTAGAGGCTGAGTACAGGACAAACCAAGACACTGAGGGGTTGAAGATGAAGGTCTCCCAACCTTTATGGGAGAGAAACTGAAAATGAAAATTGAGTTGCTCAGCAATGACTGTGCTGCAGCTCATGATGTCCAGGTAATGGAGCTTTCATAAAGAAAACAAAAACTAGTATCAAAGAGCTTACAAACGTGAACACATGCATGAACTTGCAGAGCACACTCCTCCCCAAGAGAAGGAAGACATGGGAGCCCCACGCCCCTGCCTACATACCATTCCTCAGGTGCTTTTGCACTATTCACCTGTATCCTTTGGAATATTCTCTATAATCAAGAAGTAAATATAATGAAGTGTTTCCCTGAGTTCTGTGAGCAAATTGATATAACACAAGGAGGGACACAGGAATCCTGAGTTAAAGCAGAGGAGTCAGAAACAGCCTACAGTCTGTCCTTGCAACTAGCATCCCAACTGGGGAGCAGTTGAACAGGACTGAGCATTTGATCTGTCAACTCTAATCTTTTCTAGGTAGATAGTTGCAGAACTGAACTGAGTTAAGGGTATCCAGTTGGTATCTACTGTAAAATCCATCACAGAACTAACTTCTTTGTGAGTGAAAATATCCATAAAGCGTGTGACCAGCAGTGTCTGTTGTACTAAGTATTATAGTAGAAACTAACTTATTTGTCCTATATGTATATATGTATATCTCAAACTTTGCTTATAACTCTACATATTTCTAATAGTAGTTGATCTAAATTTATAGATTTTTGGCTATTTTAAGGCAATATAAAATTATGAAAAGGAACATTTTGGAGGCCATGAAAAACCCGGTTCTTTGTATTTATTCCTTGATTTGTAACATATGTACCTTACCCCTCAAAGACAGTTGATGCAATAAATATCCAATCCAGGGCGTGAAGTATACTTGCCAGGTTATAGGTCTCCCACCTCCTGATGTTTAAACCTCTTGGGGACAGAGGTTGCCAGATCCAGTCTCAATAGTCCCCAGTGGTTCTGTTCTCTCTACTCAGGCAGCAGAGGGCAGACAGGGCCAATGGATGTACTCTAAGAGAGTGGATTATTAGGTCACTGGCAACTAGAATTAAGCCCTAATGTTTTTGTCAAATTTTGTGTAGAGGTCAAGCTGGCACTATCTATCAAAATGAAATCAATATACACTCAGACATAAAAGTTCAACTGTTGAGCCTGGAGAGATGTCTCAGCGGTTAAGAACACTGATTCCTCTTGCACAGGACCTGGGTTTGATTCCCAGCACTCACATGGTGGCTAACAACCTTCCTAATTCCAGTTCCAAGGGATCCAATGCCCTCTTCTGATCTCCGCAGGTATTAGATGACATGGGTGCACTTATATACATTCTGGCAATATGCTCATACACATAAAATAATAAGATATTTTTAAAAGTTCAACTGGTAAAAATACAACCCAGAGATGCACTCATTCCTATGAAATAACATTTTCAGGAATGTCTTGCTGCATTGTTTATAAAAGCTAAAACTTTGAATCAAACTAAGTCCTATTAGCTGGATACTGAGTCAATCAGAATATTGAATATGAAAATAGTATCAAATAAAGTAACCATCATGAAAGATACTGTAGTTATGGAGCACATGCTTACAACATGCAAGGCCCTGGTTCCATACCAGCAAATCCCTCTGCACACATACACACACACACACACACACACACACACACACACACAAATGATTTGTCTCTATATTTCTAGTCTCTCCAAAATTCAGTCAGCTCTGGTACCTAAGCAAGGATCTTTACCTTGAGTTTTGGTGTTCTCATTTTTAGAAGCAAGATTATAACTGTGTGTGTGTGTGTGTGTGTGTGTGTGTGTGTGTGTGTGTGTGTGTGTTTTGCTTAGAACAGTGTCTGGTTTTAGTAAGCATGCCCTACAATTCCACAAACATTATTATTTTGTGCATTCATATGAACCAATGTCCAGGACAGAAGCTTGCAAATTGCAGTCCAGCAAATATAGTGGACTGCCATGTAGTCACAAATGGCCCTCATAGGCTAGAAACGTGGATAAGAAACAAACCAGTAATACTAGAAGCCTCCAGAGAGGAGTTGGGAACAATTCTATACACTATTTCAAACAACTAATTTTCCAATTCTTCAAAAACATGATAAATGGGGCATAATGTTGTCTTTGATTACATAGTTTCTGATTTGAGATCATAATTATGAGTTTGCAAAATGTCATTCATTCTTATTTCTTCATGGGCTATGCCCTCAGCAGCTTAACTTTTATTTATGCATCCTATACAGAGGTTGCCAGATTTCATAATTCTGTTGTGTGACTGTGGTAAAGATAAGTGCACCCTCAAATGCAGCAATTATACTACTAAGTTTTTATCAGTCTCTAAGATGGCAAGTCTTCTGCAGAGAATCTAGGGGTATCTAAACTCTACCCATGTTACTTTGCTTTCTATGGAGAATCTCGGGGTGTTTAAACTCTATTTAAAACTCTGCTTTCTTCTAGTCATGATTCTTACACTGTTCTTGTTTCACTTCTGTTGCTGTGATAAAATACCCCACAAAAAGCAACTTAGGGAAGGAAAGTTTATTGCGCTTGCAACTTCACATTGCAGTCCATTGTTGTGAGAATTCCAGGGAGTGACTTAAAGCATCACATCCACAGTCAAGCACAGGGAGAGAATTAGATGCACGGGTTGGTATGGACTGGCTTCCTGCTTCCCCTCAGCTAGGTTTTATTTTCTTCACTCATTACAATTCGGGGTCTAGTCCAAGAAAGAGCCACATCCAGGGTGGCTCCTCCTACCTCAGTTAATAATTAACCATCCCCCACAGACATGCTCACAAGCCAACTTGTTCTAGATGATTCTTCACTAAAACTCTCCTCCCAGGTGATTCTGGGTTACATAACATTGACAATGATAACTAACCAGCACACCACTCTAACTAAAATAATTGTCATGAAAAGATACTGCAAAATTCTGACCACACCAAGTTCTACCATGCCCTTACCAAGGATCTTTTTTGCAACACCTGCAAGATCTGCCTTACCCTAGACTACGTAAGAAATTCCTTCTAGGGAGTGGGACCAAATCCTCTTGCTTTATTTTTTTAGCTGTCTCATGCTCTTTATCTGAGAAATGAGACACTGACAGCTTCTTTTTGCTGAACTGTCTAACATTCCTGTTTCAGGTATTGGTCTTTCATTTCACCTCAGCTATTACGATTGGGTGTCCTGGGGAACACAATGTACCAGCTCTCCTGGGAACAGCTGGATTTCTTTAAACCAAAGTCCCTAACCTATATTCTATTCATGTAGTCCTGCAGAGCCAGGTTCTACTGATTTTCAGAGGGCACCCTAGTGCCTTCCAACCTACTGAGGGTCACCAGCTTGGACTTCCCCTGAGTGCTTGCCCTGAGCTATGGGATAGTGGTTTAACTACATATCCAGATATCTTTCTGCAACTCTCCCGTCAGCTTAACTGAGTGCATCTTACACCCTCATCCTGGCTATCCTTTCATAGACTACCCTGGGACAGAGTCTATCATCGTTCTGACCCCAATTATGACAGGTTTGAGAATCACGTATAGTCAAGAAACTGCCTTACCTCACAATATCACAAGCCATCTCCAGTCAAAGACTGCCATCAGTCTCCATGCAGAGGAGAGTAGGGAAGTGCCACTGAGGGGCCTCCTTTCAGAGAGGTGTATTTAGCTTTGCATGAAAATTTGATCATTATGCAAAGTAAAATATCACCTCTGCCCAGAAGAAATATATAATAGTTACAAAATAAGAAAACTAGGTGCTGGAGAGATGGCTCAGCTGTTAAGAGCACTGACTGCTCTTGCAGAGGACCCGGGTTCGATTCCCAACACCCACACGGCAGCTATGAACCATTAACTCCAGTTCCAGGGGAATCCGAAGCCCTCTTCTGACCTCTGTGGCAATGCATGACATGGGTGCACTTACATACATGCAGGCAATACACTCATACACATAAAATAAAAAATAATAAAAAATTTTAAAAATAAGAAAACTGAATGAAATATGGGTACTCTTCATTTCAGATGGAAAAGAAATTAGATTATGACTGTGCTTCCATGATCCTATGTCACCATCTTACTGTCACATAACAAAAAGCAAGTTATGAAATACATGAACATTTATTCATTTTCTGAAAACAGTGCATCCTTGCCATATAAAAATGTTTATTTACATTCCCCTGATTTCTCATGTCTTAAATTTCGAAAAAAGAAACCAAGAGCTGTTAACTGAAGCATGAGAAAATTATTCAGGCCTCTTATTCTCCAAAGTAATTGCACACTAGAAAAGACTTTCTTAAATAAGCAAGCCTAGTCGAGTGTTTATTCTAAATAATTTGTTCATAAAAAATCATTTATTCATTGTTCCACTGAGATTTATTTTTCTAGCAGCTCTGTTACCAGGTGGTTTAAGTTATCTGGCTTTCATGTGGTCTAGTTTTTGTTCCCGCAAGGCTACAAAGGCAAAGGCAAGGGAAGCTATAGCTGTGTCCACCCTCCACCCTTCTAGCATCCTCAAATCTGGGCAGGAGAAGCACCATTTTGCTCATACCTTTACAGTCCCATCTGTGCTGCCAGTCAAAAGCCGGGTCTCATTTGCATCAAGGGCCATGGTGCTGATTTCTGCACTGCCATGGCAACCAGTAAACTGTTTGATTTTTTGCCCAGTGTCTATCATCCAGAAGGAAACAGTAGACCCCACATCAGAGCTGATTACCTAGGAGAAAATAACATATTAGAGAAATTAAATATAGTCTCAGGATCAACATTTTTTTCAATAAAAATATCTAGCCTGTGCATGTGCACTGTTGAACTCTCCCAACACTTAGAGACATTTTATAATGTGTTTTCTTTTTGTTAAGTTGATAACATTTCAATTTCTAGACCAGAGCTGAGGTAATGAAGTCATGATCCTCTTTATCAGAGAAGATAAGAGTCTGTTTTCCTTACCCACCATTCAGCTGTGTGTCTAGAGGGCATGCTGACTTGACACCCTAATGCATATAAACATATAAATCTTTAACATTTAGTTAAGAAAGAAGAATCTGCTAGTCATGGTGCTGTGGAACTATTTACTGTATGGAAAGAAACATTTTATTAGACATCTACTTCCACTTAGCATTCAACAAAGAAGCACTACCCGCCGTTATGAGGAAAATAGTTGAACAAATTACTAGAGCCATTGCTTTTTATGCCATTCACCTCTTGTTTTCTCTTGTCTGAAAGTGTGATATGTATGTTTAAAAAAGGTGTAAGACAGGAGATATGAAGAAATTCTGAGAACTGTTGTCTTCTGGTTATGACACAATCGTTATCACAAACTCCTGGCAGCTGTGGTTACTTGCACTGGGACTGCATGAGACTGGCCCAGTCAACTGTCTCAACTGTCAGCCATGGATGGGGGAGGGGCCATAGGTCCCTAACCTTCCCTCCTGAACTATTGACTACTAATAGATTCTAAGAGATGGGGAAGTCACTGTCTTCCGTTTTGTAGTTACTGGTGAGCCCAAATTCATGGTCACATAGCAGCTCTGGTTAAACTCAGTGGGTCACAAAACAGATGTGAGTGTGGGAAAAGGATTTGTAAGGGGGGGGGTTGACAAGGACAGAGGTTGGGGGAGACAAGAGGGGATGAGGGGTGAGACTAAAAAAGGGATCCTAGGGTGGAATGCATGTCTATGATCCCAGCCATCAGGAGGCTGAGGAAGGGAATCCAGAGCTCAAGTCCAGCCTGAGCTACATGCAAATTGTGGGCTGACCTGGGCTACAGAGCAAGACCTTGTAGATAGATAGATAGATAGATAGATAGATAGATAGATAGATAGATAGATAGATGATAGACAATAGATAAAAAAGATAGATGGGCAGATGATAGATGATTGATAGAAGATAGATGATAGAGGAAGGACAGATAGATGATAGATAATAGATATGTTTTACACTAAAATGCAATTACTAATGTATCACTAAATACGAACAGGTCAAGTATAGATCTGCTTACACATTTCAAGAGGTAAGCAATGAAATAAATACTAGAAAAGACAGGATTACATATGGCAAATATGAGAAACACAGAGTAGGCAAGTCAACTGCTAACTTCAGCTCTAAGTAAGCACACACCTTATAAGGTGTTTGTAGGTTGAAACCACTCTGCTAATGTGAAATAAAAATGATGAACACATCAACATATGGATATCAATTTATATGGCTCAATATCTAGATTTTGAGGAAACAAAGGACTTCCTTTTCTGCCTGCATATTAGTTATCATTCTGCAAATGTACATTTATTAAGAATACTTTATATTTTTATAATCAAATGGGCTGATGATGATCAAATGTATGCCAAGGACTGGAAATCATGAGCACATATCTATTCCGTAGGCACTTGCTAAACATGTAGTCTGTGGCAGAATGACTTCAGTGATGAATTCTTGCCTTTAAGAGGTTTATATTTTAGATTTGTGCATTAAATTCTACAAGGAGGGTCTGGAGAGCTACTTTAGCCTACAAAAATCTTGTCACACAAGCTTGAGAATCTCAGTTCACACACTCTTTCTTTAATGTACTTTTTAAAAATAATTTCATACATGAAAATTTTCTTTGCATTATGTCCACCCCTCCCAGTCCCTTATGAACTCCTCCCATGTCCTCACACTCCACCTCGGTCTCTTGTCCTTTTTGATTATTATTGCTACATACACATATATTCATTTGTAAATATATAGAGAGATGCATATATATAAAACACTGAGTCCATTTAGTGGGGCTGGTGGAGATGGTGGGCAGCACACACTCTTAATCCACACTCTGGGGAGAAAGAGACAGGGGCTCACTTTTCAGTCAGTCTAGCTGAATTACAAGCACCAGATTCGGTGAAGGACCCTGTCTCAAAAATAAGGCAGAGAGTGATTGGTGAAGGCACCTAAGTCACTTAAGGCCTCCACATGCATGTGTATACGTACACACAAAGAAAGAAAAGAAAAACACCTCCATGAAACTTTGAGAAGTACCTCTGCATTCCAGACCACACTGAACCAACCAAGGGAAGGTTTAACAACTCCATAAGTTACCTAAATGAACAGCTAAGAGTTATTGGTTTTAATGGAGAAAAAGACAAGGAACATATTAATCTCAAAACAATACTGTGCAAGCTTGATGTTATGCTTGGGCGCTGAAAAGCTCAGAGAAAGAACCTAAAATTTACTTACTTCTGGATTATGGGGGCTAGAACTGTAGAAATGGAGGACAAGTCAGGATTCACACAGTTCACAGGTGATCCAGACCGAAGACAGGAACAAGTGTTTATTAAATGACAACTCACTGCACTCATTATATGAATAGTTTCAAAAGCTGTAAAACTGTTGGATGTGGTAGCTCACGCCTTTAGTCCCAGCACTGAAGAGGCAGGTGGATCTCTGTGAGATCAAGGCCAGCCTGGTCTACATAGCGAGTACCAGGCCAGGCCAGCTGGGACTACAGGAAGAAAAAAAAAAAAAAAAAAAAAAAAAAAAAAAAAGCTGTAAAACAATCTTAGGAGCATCAGTTTACCAATGGTTCTATGGTTCTTGTCAGTTAATTCATGTTTCTCAGCTCCTGTAACTACTTTTGACACTATGGGTAAAAGTTGTGTCATATGGTCTACCCTTAATCCAACACAGAATGTGAAGGAACAAACATGGTGGACCATCAAATGAGAGGGCAAGCTGGAGATGAACGCAAAGTCACTCACAGAAGATTCAGTAATACGTAGAACTGATTCTACTGGGAGATGGTCTATAACTTTTTTGATGATTTTTGGAATATGTAGATAATCTTAAAGGTTGAAAAGAATTTCATTTATTCCTCTCCTGTACAGCAGGCCTTAAATACAGTCCTAGAGTAGATAGTGTTCTAGTTTGCCTTCAATTTCTTGGACAAAAAACTCTGACCAATGCCAACTTGGGGATGAAAGGTTTATATTATTTTACATCTCCAGGGTCACAGTTCATCAGGGAGCCCAAGGTAGGAACTCAGAGCAGGAACCTGGAGGCATGAGCTGGAGCAACGGCCGTGGAGGAACATTGCTTATAGGCTTGCTCCCCTGGCCCCTGCTCAGCCTGCTTTTATATATGATACAGAACAACCTGCCCAGTGATGGCACTTCCCACAGTGGGCTGAGCCCCACCACATCACTCAATAATCAAGAAAATACCCCACAGACATGGCTACAGGCCAGTCTAATGGCAGAAATTCCCCATGAGGCTCCCTCTATTCAGGGATGCCAAATAGACAACTAAAGCTATCCAGCACAGATGGTTACCATCATACAGTCATGCTACTTTTGCACCAGAGGGCACATATTTTGTTTGGCAGGTTGGTGTTGTAGTTTTTAGGGTTCACAACTGAGTAAGACCATTAGTACCTTTTTTCTCCTAGCAGCATGCATAGCATCTTCTGTTATTATGAAAACTTTCCATCAAGGAGGAAGAGTCCAGCACAGTTTCAGTTTAATTTCTCTGTATTTTATAACTAAGGATCCTATTGCATCTTCAGCAATAGGGACTTATAATCTCATCCTGGTGGGCAACCAAGAAGAATGGTAAGAGCTTCTTATTATTTTGGGGACTTCAGAGGTCTCCCTGACCAAAATCTCATAAAGAGGTATCCCATACATAGCACTGGCATTTTTGTTTAATAACCTGTGGCTTCTTAGAACACATTATCCAGCTATAAAGGATATCACCCTTCTAACTCTTTTTCTTATCTCTTTAATTGGTTTACAAAGTAGTTTCCAAGTGACTTCTTCATTTACCCTTCATGATGAACAGTCTTCCCTCCCTATCCCCTTATCTCCCTCATCTTGTCACCCCCCCATCCTTACTTAACCCTTTCTACCTCTAGTATTGCCCCTCTTACACAGCCTATGTTCTACTGGAGTACCTCCCTTCCACTTCAGTGGCCCCCTGCTGGCTTTCTGACTGTTATAGGTTCTCCAAGTTAAACACAAAAACCTAAAGATTCAGAGCTAAGATCCACATGTAAGAGAGAATATGATGCATTTGTTTTTCTTGGTCTGGGTTACTTCATTCATTATAATTTTTCTACTACCATCCATCATAATTTTGTTTTCCTTTATAGCTGAATACAAGTCCACTGTGTATGTGTACCACATTTTCATTATCCTTTCATCTGAAAGGCTATCTAGGCCAATGCCATTCCTAGCTATTGTGAATAGAGCAGCAATGCATGGTATTATAAATCTGGTCAAAAACTCATGGCTGAGGAGATCACAGACCTTAGAGGGGATTTACTGCTGTTGGTTAGCTACATTGAAATGGTACCAAACAGGCTTCTAAATATTTATGTTTATACTCAGAAAAATTCTACTCCAGCTTTAATGAGAGAAGTTTCTCTTTGCATTAAACAACAGTGAATTTAGACTCATGACTGCTCAAGGTGCTTAGAAGAAATGACAACTGAGTGCTCAGTCCTAAAGAGGATATTTATACCACCCCCCCTCTAAGACTCAGAGAAATTCTAGAAGAGAGACCAGAAATAATATAAAAGCTGGAAGATAGGAGAAAGGGATGTGAAATGCTACATTCAGGGCATAACGCAGCCATTGAAAACATGATCTCATAGCAGCTGTGATTGCCTACACTGGGCCTACACAAGACAAGGCCTGTCAATAGGCAACTATGGATTGGAGGTGTGGAGTCTCATGGAGTCTTACTTAA